GCCTTAAGGAGGGAGCAGTGTGACATGTTGCGCAAAGGAGAACCCCCCCACCAGCAGTGACGCGGCGGGTGAGTCAGCGCTCCCCTCCCCCTCCTCCGCACGGTAACGTAACGGTGATGCAACAGGATTGTTACTGTAGTAACAGCGGTTACTACCGCTAGCGTTACTAGCAACACGGCGCCAGGCAACAAGGGTGCCTATTATGTGGCCGTTTTCCGTATGGTCCGATCAAGGCTACATGGGGAGCAGCGAAGGCTATTCACAGTCAGTTGTACTGAGTCAGTCAGTGAGTCCTGGAGCTACCACCGAGTTAGCCAGCAACTAGTCAGTGGTATTCTGGCATTTCGAGTGTATTAATTGTGATACTGCAGATAGCAGTAACCGTAAATCTATAATTTGGGTGATTGTAAGTGCGAATGTGAAATAAAATTCGCTACATCAAATACATCGAGAAGTTATTTGTCACGATATACGCAAGATACGCGACAATATTTATGACAGTTCTACATATGGATATAATAAATATTACATATTAAAAGTTTGACTAAAAGGGATGAATAAAATTGAACTGAACTGCATTTCTAAGTAAACCTCTTCCCTTTCAGGACTTCCCCCAACATCCATTACCACAGATCATAGGCTTTTATACTGGTCTAATGAAACTGAAGGCAAGCTGTATTCAGTGACGAAGGCTAAGGAAGATTCTATGTTGGCAAGCATGTCCAGAGGTGTCATGTCAGTTAATATAACAGGAGTTCGAAGAATAACAGCGCTTGGACCACACTTACAACCTTATCCAGGTAGTAAACATGGGCCTTGTCAGTGATAACATTGAAATTTATAAAATTTGAGAGCATTAACACTGAAAACTACCAAATTAGTCATATGAATTAAATTTAGACAGTTTAAACTTCTTGATATCTTACAAAAACTGGTGAGATAATCCTTCAAATTCAGAACTGCAGAAATTTAGGATATACAAGGACCATGAAATTACTTTCTGCAAATTTAAATATGAATCATATAGTAAGATGATTATGAAAGATCGATTGAAAGGAATATGGAAAAATAAGATCAAGGGCTAATTCAGGTACTGTCATGTCATATGCCTAAAATGACTCTGAAGAACCAAGAAAACATCAGTCAGGATAATCAGCCCTTGACTGAGATTCAAAATGGATCCTCTCAAATATGAGGCAGGTTCATTTTCACTGTGTTAAAGAACTTGGTCTAGTCATATATTTTCATCATAAATTACATAAATGTTCATTTGCAAGTGTGCATATCAGGAATATAACTTCTTTTGTTTTGTATCTGTAATTTTTCAGTGCCTAAGTGTCTTGCACCACGCCAGGCCGAGCTAGTTGTTGAAAAGATCAATCACACAGATCACTCCATAACACTGCAACTCCCAAATCCTGAGCGATATCCTGAATGTGAGAATATCTCACTGGCCTCAGTGGAATACACAGTATATTATGGCCAAATCAGAGAGAACCAGGATGCAGACTGCAGTATGGATATGAATTTCTGTATTAAGCTGGTATGTCACCACTTTTGTAACTGCATGGATATGTGTCTCATATCTCAGCTGTATTTCTTACTTCTAAGTCTAAGCTACCTGAAAACAAGCACAGTATTTTATAACAGGAATGGGAAAATGAACTTCTTTGACACAGGTATACAAGAACTTATTCCCCAATATGCCTTGAGCCTCAATTCCAGCAGTGACTATGTTAAGAAATAGCTTAACCATGTACATATTTCTGTATATAATAAAATGGTTTTTCTTATTCCTTGTTTCATTAGCAGCTCACTGGAGCTTGTAAATAGTCCTCATAAAACATCATATAATATCCTAGTAGTCACAAGAAACTAAGGCGACAGAAAGAAAATCAGTGATACAAAAGGATTTTATATAACAGACATTATAAAAGAAATGAAGTTCTTAAAGATTTAAAGGGTATTTTTCTTTATTTCAGACTACATACGATCAGGTATTGGAATTACGAAATTTGAAGCCATTTTCTACATACATCTTTTATGTGGCACTTAAAAATTATTATAGTGGTCTAGAGGGGATTATCCCTGTAATTGGACCTCCAACTAGATTCCAAACTGCTGCAGGAGGTAAGACTTTTCTAGTACAGTAAATTTAATGTGCATAACATAAAACTACCATCTTTCCATCTACTCCTAGTTCTTCCATAAGGTATCTTATAACATTTTCCAACTAGTATCTTTTATGCATTTTTTTGTATCTCCCATGCATGGTTCAGGTCATCCACTTATAGCAGGGGTGGCTGTAGAATTTTGGCGTGAAGAATCTGTTAACTGAGATTTTTTTTTGGCAGCCCCATCATCACCACAGAATGTTATACCATGGGTGGCTGTAGAATTTTTGTGTGAAGAATCTGTTAACTGAGATGTTTTTTTTGGCAGCCCCATCATCACCACAGAATGTAACAGTTCTGGTTTTAAATCCTACAACTGTTGAGGTGCAGTGGCTGCCCCCACAGGAATTCAATGATGAGGGAGTGTGGTATGAGCTACACTGGTGCACTGAAGGCATGGTCGCTGGAGTTCGTCAGAGGACTGATAAAGATCTTATGAATACAGATTCACTCAAAAATATTCACAGAGCTGACCTGCAGAACTTGTTGCCTGGAAAAACTTACCAAATATGGGTAAGTTCTGATGAATTAATGTGTTGCTTGTTTTATTCATCAAATATTTACTTGAGCTGTACTACACTAATACAGCCATCAGTGACTAAACCATTACATAGCAGTTTATGATAAAGAGACAAATCTCTCCTCTTCCATACCTCCACTTCTTTCTCTATCTCCAGCTTCCTACTAATCTTCCTCTTTTTTCTTGCCTCATATTTTTCTTCTCTCTTCTATCTTTCTCCTTCTTACTTTTATCTTAACTCCCTCCTTTTCCCCATGTGATTCCTCCTCTTCTTCCTTTCCTTATTCACTTCCTTCTGTTCATACTGTGGTAATGCTATAGACTTGTATTCAGGGGCAAAAGATAGAGGACTGGCACTACAGCCTGCTATGAACATTGGCCTGCCTGTGGAGGTATTGCTTCCACCTTTCTTAATCTTTGCCATTAGATGGCAGTGAATGGTTAGCACCACACCCTGGAAGCTTTACCCTCAGGGAAGGAGGTCTCAGTGCCCACTGGATGGATGCTTGTATTCAGGAGGTATATGATTGACATTCTAACCAGGTTACTGCCTATCCTGAAGATTTTTGCGATTTTCTTAAAGCTGTTCAGGTGAATTCCATGGCAGTGCCTTGAAATAGGCTGTAACTACCTCCTGCTCATGGTTCCGTATCATCTTCTCATTCAACACTATAATACAGGTGCAACTGGAACAGTAAAATTAAATAATCTGATAATCAACAAACTGCCCATAAGAATCTAAACAGTTGATGATATATGGGCTGGACAAAATAATGGGAAAACTACAGATACTGTGTAAATATCTTTATTAACATGGTGTTGGACCACTTTTTGCCTTCAATAGAGCCACAATCCTTCTTGGAATGGACTCATACAAATTTTGAAACAGTCTCTAGTGGAATTTTACAGCACTCCTATTGAAGAACATATTCAAGTTGCTTTAGAGATATTGGAGGTGGTAATATGTTCCTTACTCTAGTCTCCAAAACTGGCCAGTGTGTTCAATGATGTTCAAACGTGGCGCTTGTGCTACCCAGGGAAGATGTTCAAGTTCACCTTCATGCTGTTCAAACCATGACCGAACAGTTCACAGTTGTAATAAACGGGGACATTGTTGTCTTGGAAAACCACAACACTATTCGGAAATAACAACTGGATCATGGGATGCAGTTGATTCCCCAAACTGTTCACAAACTCCCTTGCAGTAATTCAGCCACGAAGGGCAATAATGGGAGGAACAGAATACTGAACCACGATATTGCTGCCCAAAAAATCACAGAATCTCTCCCATGTTTCACTGTTGGAACCAGGCATTCCGGACTGTAGGCTTCCTTGGGTGTTCTCCAAAAGTAAACTCTTCCTGATGTGGGAAATAGCGAGAAGAATGACTCATCTGACCATATCATTCATGCATTTCCATTTGTCTGATGTCTAGGTTTTATGGTTGTGACACCATCGTATATGCATATGAAAATTACTTCCAGGAATCAGAGGTTTAGCAATTGCAGCCCTACTGTGGATGCTGGATTTGTGAAGCTCACATTGGACAGTTTTTGTGGAAATAGGGTCTTCAAGATGAATATTCAGTTCTGCTGTCACCTGTGTTGCATTAGTTAATGTTGATTTTTGCCCACTGCTCCTCTTTGCTGATGTTGTCTTCCCATGATTCGTGTATGCCAACATAGCCTTAGAAACTGTTGCTCTCAATACATCTAATAATGCAGCAATTTTTGTCACAGATGCTCCAGTTAAAGTTGCACCAACGATCTGTCCTCCTTAAAAATCACACAAGTCTCTCATTTTCCAATTCATTCACATGGGCTACCACTCATCACAACCACTAATGCACTGACATGAGCACTATAGAGTGCAAAACTAATGGAAGAACATTCAGTGTTGCCAACTGAAGTTTCTTCACTTTAGCCAACACATATTCTATTCCTCAGTTTCTCTCTTAGTGTTTCCATTATTTTCTCCACCCCTTGTATATGATTATTTGAAGCATGCAATGGTACAGGTAATTTGTTTTTGTACAGGTGCGAGCTAACTCTCAGAATAGCAAGACATTCAGTGACAGCGATGGTGTTGTTATCACAACATACCCAGAACCTGACAATATTACTCTTTTACATGCAACACCATATGCACTCAACATCTCGTGGACTCCCTCCAAAAATGTTCCCATTTTAAGGTGAGTGCAGATTGAGCCCTAAGCCATGTAAGACTGTTGCATCAGCTGACCAGGTCATTCCGACATGCACAGTGAATGCATAAATGGTCATGTGTCAGCACCAATATATCAGCACAAAAATACAGACAACAGTTAATTCTGAACCTGATTTGAACACACTGAAGGAACTTCCTTTAGAATGTTAAAACACATTAAGAAATATATACATAGGATAACAATTTTAGCATGTTTGCTCCCTTTTGTTCAGTTACCTCAAAACATTTAAGACTATGGTAAACGTGTACTTATAGTATAATATTAGGGAAAAGTGCATCAGACATACGAGGGGGGACCCAAAAATAACCAGAACCGACCTGTTGCGCACACATTCTTTGTAATTACGAGTTGTGCTGCTAGGTGGTGTTAGCTGGGGGTCTCCCACGACTGTTAGTGAGCTCGCGTCAGTCTGAGTTAAGTGGTTTGTCTGTGGTGCTCTGTTGTGTGCGTTCCTGTTTCAACCCTTTGGCGATTAGTGAGATGGCCGACCAGAAGGAACAAAGAGTGTGCATGAAATTGATGAAGATCGTCGAAANGCTTGCTCGGAGATGACCAAAGAGAAAACCGCGTGAATGTTTGCCGCGACTTGAAGAGTGAAGTGCAGTTTTCCCTAACAGAAAGCAAAATTTCATGCACACTCTTTGTTCCTTCTGGTCGGCCATCTCACTAATCGCCAAAGGGTTGAAACAGGAACGCACACAACAGAGCACCACAGACAAACCACTTAACTCAGACTGACGCCAGCTCACTAACAGTCGCGGGAGACCCCCAGCTAACACCATCTAGCAGCACAACTCATAACTACAAAGCATGCGCGCACAACAGGTCGGTTCCGGTTATTTTTGGGTCCCCCTTCGTATAATGTGTTCTCATTTTTCTGTGTAACTTCCTTTTAGAAATTTTTTACTCTGACAAATATTAATCAAGTTAGATGTAGACGTGCATATAGGTCTTGATGTAAGGTGTTCATTACTGTTGTCTGATTTTAACCCAAATTGGAATGTCTCAATATTTTAGTTATCTTTCAGGAAAATATATTCAGCAGCTCTCAATTTGTTACATGCAAACAGATGGACAGACACACTAGCTATCTCCATGATGTAGGCCTTTTTGAACCTTGTTACTGCTATTAGACTGTAGTCTGAGCTAGCTGAATCCAGTCAACACCCTCACATCCAGTATTTATATGATCAGTTTTAATAGTATCATTGATTCCCTGAATGGTCTCTTTCAGATTCTTCAATTAGAATATTGAATGCATTTTTAATTTTCCCAGATATGCTACATGCACATATCAACAATAACAGGAGGAGTACAAATTAGGAAGCTCATTATGTAATTTTTTTACCATCCTCTTGCTTCTTCTTCACATTTAGGCCCAAATAATCTCCTCAACACCCTGTTTCTTGGCATTTTCAATTTATGTTTCTTCCCCTGCATAGCAGACCAAGTTTTATACAAAAAAAAAAGGTAAAATTATGATTTTATATATTTTAGTCTTTAGGTTTTAAATATCAGATAGAAGTACTAAGGTTTCTGAATTGTATGGCACCAGCCAAAATAAATACATTTAAAAAGATGAAGAAAGCAGTCTTCTGGGCTTTGGCGCCGTGTATATGTGGTGTTAACCGACGTTTCNGATGTTTTAGACATGCAAATAATTATAATCGTTTGTGTAATCAGAATCCGTGATAAGATAACTAAAACTGATTGGTTCTGAAAATCCCATTTATTCAAAAACTTTCTGTGTTGCAGGTATGACATCCAGTACCGTGAAGCCGGTTCAGCACATTGGAACAACTTACTGAAAGAAACAGAAGACACAAATGTCTATTTTGTGGATCACTTATTTCCAAAAACATACTATATATTTAGACTTTCTTTAATTTACCCTCAATCTTCAGTGCCATACATATGGCCCCTAGACGAAAGATTTGCCTATGAATCATTAGGTAAGAATTCATCTATCCTGGAAGAACAGAGAAAATTATATGATGAACGGCTTCAATATTTGTGCTCCACAGCTAATATTGTTATGCTGATTAAATCATTAAACTGCCATTTTCCATTATATAGATTATACAGCATTTAATACAGGATGATTTTAATTTATGAATAAAATGTGGAAAGACATGAATGTAGCCTATTTAATACATTATCTCAGGATATGACTGGAGGAACTGAGGGAAAACACTAAAAGCTTTCACCAGATAGCCACTATTTGGGACAAGATTCAAACCCAGTACTTCAAGAATATGAATTAGGAATTCTAACCAGTCAGCCATGAAGGTCAGTGATGAAGGTGTCAGGAACTATAATGTACATGGGAGAATAAATAGAACATACATCATGTTGATTGGAGGACATCATGATAAGTGATCTGTCAGGAGATCAAGGTGTAGATGGCAGCATAATATTGAAATAAACCTCAGAGAAACAGGCTGTCATGAAGTGAACTGAGCTGAGCTGAGCTGACACAAGGTTTATTTCAGTTGTGGGTCCTTTTGGCCCCAGTGATTAACCATCTTAACCATATCAAAATGAAATTTCTTGATCAAGATAAATTGCTCACAGAAGATCCTGTACTACTGACTTCATTTCAGCCTTACTCTCAATAAATACATAGGTAAGTCAATAAGTAAGTTACAAATGGTTATAGAACTTAAATATGATTACTGATCTGAAAAATGCTTTTATTTCTCAACATAATCTCCCTGTACATTGAGGCACCTGTCCCATCATTTCACAAGCCCCTGAAACCCAGCAGCATAAAATTCTTGGGGCTGCTGTTAGAACCAGATGGTGACTGGGATCACGAAGGCATACTGCTCACCGCATTCCAGTCTCAAGGACAAACCGTAAATGCCGACTCCTACTGTAACATCCTCAGGAAACTTCATAAGGCCATTCAACGGAAGCGACCAGGACTCCTCACGAAAGGCGTGTTGCTCTTGCATGACAACACGCGTCCCCATGCTGCCAACAAGACAAATGAAACGCTGCGAAATTTCAAGTGGGAAGTCCTCGAGCATCCTCCGTATAGCCCGACCTTGCTCCAAGCGACTTCCATTTGTTTGGCCCTCTTAAACATCATCTTTCGGTTGAATATTATCCCGATGACGAAGCTGTAGAAAGGGAAGTCACCGCCTGGTTCCAACAGCAGCCCAAAGAATTTTATGCTGCTGGTTTTCAGGGGCTTGTGAAACGATGGACAAGTGCCTCAATACAGGGAGATTATGTTGAGAAATAAAAGCATTTTTCAAATCAGTACTCTTACTTGTTTAAGTTCTATATCCATTTGTAAGTTACTTATTGACTTACCCTCGTATAATGAATATTACCATGAAATATTAATTGAAATATTTCATTTGCCTATACCATCTTTTATTCCTAAAAATACATAAGAAAAATCAACATCAATGGAATAAAACTGATTTTCATGTATTGTATTTTTCAGCTTTCACAGAAGTAATACACTGACTGAAAATTACTGTCTTTTTGGGATGTGATATCTTCTGCTCTGAAGGTGGAGGCAACTGGTCCTCCTGAAATTTTGATAACTCTCTACAAGACAACCCAGTGTCACATTCCAGAAGACAGTAACCTTCATTAGTAATACCGTGATAACTTCAAACCTCACAACCCTGTGACTGATAAAGCTTCTTTCTGTGTATTCAGACTCTCCGTAAACACAGTGAAGCTCTATCTGCAGTACCAAAACCACTTCCATCTAAATCATCACTCAGAATCATCCTCCTTTCTAGCAATATACTACTTATGCAGTTAAGATATCATCATTAAAGAAACTGAGAATATAAACATACTTTTCTTAATTTTCAGGGGATTGTCCAAGCCCCCCAGGTATTCCTGTTATCCAGCAACTGAGAAGGGATGTGTATCAGGTAATATGGGACCCTTCTCGTGAGAATGGCGCTCATATAGAACTATACTGTTTGGAAGGCAAGATTGAAGGGGAGAGACGAGACAAGAGGGAAGCAAACTTTACCTCAGACACTCACAGTGCAGCCAGAATTGAGGATGATACTGCCATTGAAGCTGATGATGACAGTGATAATTGGGTGCTGTATTACAATGGAACAGGTATGAAACATAAATACATATTTTGTTTCTGTAATACTGAACCCTCTCACTGTCACTCTTTTAAGAACTGTCAAGTTTTCTGAGTACTGTTTATTTGTTTATTCTAGAAGTGATGTCAACAGTCCAGTTGTATGTAGTGATTTTATGGTAAAATGAATAATATGGAAGCATATTATCCACTGCACTCCAAAAATCTCATGTTTATACTGTCGATTACCCAAGATAAGAGGTCTTTTAGTATCTCTGTATAAGCAAATGAATTCAGTAACTTAGTTTTGTGTGAGTTAAGGCATTATATTGTTATGAAGTCCTCTGTGCCAAAGTTTTTGTTTCATTCACCAAACAGCAGCAAGTGACTTGTGTCTGGTTGGATCAAAGATCTCCTGAGTAACAAACCGTTGCTCCATTGATAAGCCAGCTAGGAACATGACAGTTGGCTGAAGAGGTCTACGATTATTCCCTCTGTCAGCCTGTCATTTATAAGTAGAAAAATATGTAGTGACTGCATTAAATAACAGTAAATGTCTGGTTCATGACTAATAAGGTGAGAGTGCATAATGTAGAAAGTCAAGCCACAGAATTTCACTACAGTGTGTTTGGAACCCAGTTTATGCATGAAGGCAAAGTAACTGTGGCCAAAGAAATACTGAGTCAAGAATTTTCAACATATTGTGACATGACATCTGACAGCCAGAATAATGGATCCAGAATAGATCATCCATGGCATGATGACAACTGGTGTCAAAAGTGGGATAATTGGATTGCATTGAATTATTAGACTTACTGAACTGTGTACTGTGAGAACAGAACCCACGTGATGGATAGTCATGGCACATTTTGACTGCCTGGTAGCTATCAAAGGGATGAGAGCTGACCAAAATAAAATGAAAGCTAAGATGGACTCCAGGCTAGAAGTGAAAGCCAGTCACAAAATGACGGAGGCCACGATAAAGACCAATCAAGAACAGATGAAAGTCAGTCAAGAAAACATGAAAGCAACATTAAGTGCCATCAAGGAGGAGAGTACAGTCAAGAAAGGACGAAGGCAGCAATTAGGAATGGCCAAGAAGAAAATGTGGTCATGATAAACTTTGTCCAGTCTGAACTCGAAGAGACCATGAAACATCGGCTAGAAGATGTCCTGGTATTGGTCGACTAATGAACACAGAGCCTCCACTAGGAACTCAATGAGAGGACTCAGTAAACACAATCAGGCCTACAAGCAATTCTGACATTCTGCAGCCACAGAATCCAGGTCAAGACAAAAACAACGAGGACCCTAGTAGAGACCATGTGGTGTGGATTCAAGGCCAAGACAGCAGAAGTAACAGGCAATTCCACCCAGGGACTTGATCTCACACAGCACAAGTTCATAACACAGCTAAAAAAAGCCAAGGCCTGAGCAGCACAGCAAACTGGCAGTGGTACAGGGGATGATGCTGGTATTTTGTAAAAGAAGCTTCAACAACAGTACTCTTAAAAGCAGTAGCTCTAGCCAGGCTAATGGCTTGAAACTTTCTCAGAGATATAGCACAGTTCTTCTTTTCATAAAACCAGTGATCCATTGTTCACCTGCTCAGCCATTCACATCCTCCTGATAAGCTAGTTTCATTACTTTCTTCCTTTTTAATCTTTAATGAATATGGCTAGCTGTGGTAATACAATCTGTCAACCCACCTTACTCCTTTATTCAGAATACTGCCCATACTGCACATTTATTGCTGTAGAAGAATTGTTCACTACCACTCTTATTTTGATAATGAAGATGGTCTCTGAAGGGCTGTGTGTGCAACATTAAACTGTTCTGCTGCTGCTCGAACTGCCAATCCTTCGTGAACAGCTTCAATTGATAAAGCAATTTTTGGTATGGATACTGGTGGTTGCTTGTAAGCAGCTTTACTTCTGGGCATCTGAAAACATATACCTTCTACTCATTATTTTATTCCTTGTACCTTTGCATATGTTATGCTAATGAAAAATGAACAAGAAGCTTTTGAATAGCTCTGGCAATTTGTTCATTAATTGAAAACAGAAAAAAACAGCTGCACTTACTTTAACAGCTGCTTATATATCCATCTGGTTTCACATTCATACCTTTGGTCATAGCCCCAGGTATAAGGACATGACATTTTAATTTGAAGTTGTTTTCAGCATTTATTTTTATGGATAGATAACCTTGGTCAACATCACATTAAATTCCTTAACACTATAAAGAAAGTAGAATATACAATAAGTTTTAATATGATCCCTTAGCTTTTCATTCAAAATTTAGAATTCTTGGTCAGTATAAGTAGAACAGATGTCAGAGAACATAAATGGTATAATTACAACAGACTTATGCTGCTGCCATTGTTTTGTGTGGCATAAAACCTTGATGAATGTAATACCAATCTATCAGTTCTAGAACAGATACTTCTGTGTCACAATTCAAAGAGTTGAGATGGGTGGCCTGAGGTACATGATGTCCCTATGTACAAGGGTCTCCTCTACATAGCATCTAACTGGAAAAATACACCTCTAGGGAAAGAGAAGTTTTGTTTTTACTCTGGAGGGATTAAGCTTTTTGAAACAGTGACTAACAGGATGCAAGATTGAAAAGGCTGATAATAACTATATTGGACTATAGCAACAACTGATCTACATGGAATAAAAACTGTAAATATTCTATATTACAGTATTGCAGGCTACCTTTGGTGCTAGGAGAACACATTTACCCAAGTAGCTCAAGTTTCTCTTATTGACAGTGTTAAAAGTACCTCTTTACAAACAGTAATTAAATTTCTTTTGCAGAAAACTACTGGATTATTACAGATCTCAGCCCAAGTCTGAAGTACATCTTCAGAGTCCGATCTATGAACAGATATGGCTGGAGTGACTTCAGTGTAGCAAGTGAATCATTTGATTTCACTGAAGCAGCCATGCTAGCAAAACAGCAAGAGCTAGAAATTGTACTCAGCATTTTGATACCAACTGTAATGGTAACCATTTGTATAACTGGAATATTCATACTGATATATGGTAAGTATTCATGTTTCAGAAGTTTTTGGCATTATTTTAACCCTTTGAGGCCCAGTTAACATATGACATCCCACAAAACCCAGTTCACTGTATTCAAATTTTAAACTTTCTGGTTCAGTATGACACTGATCTTTGATTCATTTTTGATCATCAAACATCAGACTTTTTTCAAAAGAGGGGTCAACCTGACAAAATAATGTTTCCCAAAAGTGATGCACCAGTGACTGCCAGTCCAAAGCTTAAATGGTCCATAAATTCCACTTAGTATTTTATGTTACATATATTTTACTACAGAATAAACAAATTCCTGCTTTACAACTAGCAAGGTACCCTTTCTATTTTCATTTTTTCCTTTAGCAATTAAATAGTTTCTATTGAACACTACTAGTTTCTTGAACAGAGGTCTCACTATACAAGTTTATTATGATTACTTTTGTTTCTGATACACCTTGACCTGATAATATGAGGAACTTCTGATAATTTATGTTAGTTCATATGCCTTCATGCATTATTTTTATTGTGAGTGTTAACTGTGGATGATGATCATTCTTCCATTTTACTTCCATATAAAGACATAATTTTTTATATTGTAAAGATGTTTAGATTATTGTACAGCATGAGACATAGTGAGTACCAGTCCTTAGAAAACCCACTGCTGTTTTACCAGTATCTTAATCAGAAATTGTTGGAATTCACCATAAGAATTGTCTATAAGTATTTTCTGAATGTCTAATCAGGTATTATATGATATTTCTGGTCAATTTATTTGATAATATGAAAAACCAAATGGGAAGAGTTTCATTTTATTTTGTTTGAATTTTAAATTTTCATACTTCCACTGATAAAAATGTAATTACACAAATATTTGAGTCTGACAGAGAACCGAAAGGAATTTGGAATTTTCAGACATCATTTTCTTATCTCTGGTGTAGTATTTCAGCGTCGGGAAAAGGAGAAGAAATCTCTGCAAGTGATGACACTGACAACAGCAACTCGAGGACCAGACGTTGAACTGGCAACATTGAGAGAACTTCCTCGCAGAGGAAACTTTATCCAGAACACAAATGCTCTCTATATAACAGCTGACATCCCTACAGATGAAGAGATTGCATTGTTACCTCATATTCGCAGAGATCAGATTACTCTGACAAAATTCCTTGGTAGTGGAGCCTTTGGGGAAGTGTTTGAAGGCAATGCAAGAAACCTGCCTAATTCTGGAGGAGCTGAGACAAAAGTTGCTATTAAGGTAGGAACATAAGGTAGTCTAATCTGTGATCTTCAGGTTTCAAAGCTAGTACAGATTAATAATATTGGTTTTCAGACTTGATGAGCATGCTTGTCTAATTGTCTTCCATTTCACCAAACATTTACCCTGAAGATGGCAACAAAATGTCAAATACAATTAAACAAGTAACACAACTTGTTACAAGGTTACAACAGGTTAATGTTTAGAAAATCATAATTGCTGAAAACGCATATATTTAAGAATGTGCACATGTGATTTAACGAAAAATTGAAGTTAGATTCAGATTCTGCTGTATGAGTAAGAAAAAGGGGTGCAGGGAACTGAGATAAACCACATGCTCTTTTCCTACACTAGCAGATGTGTAGAATCATGAACAGTGTGTTACTAATGCACAGCACTGGTTAGCTCCTTGAACCAGTGAAAAAATGAGCTAATTTGAGAGTCTCAGCATATCTTTGTAATCTTACCATCAGTTACCATTCAGAGAGCACAGCAGGTAAGGCCAAACAACTCAGGTAGCTCAAGCGGTAATACTTCTCACTTTCACTCAGGTAGTGCTTGGTTAAAATTGTCTGGGACACCAACTGCCCTGAATGACAGTTTTCATGATTTTCCTCATTCCTTCAAGGCAAATGCTTGGGATAATACCTTAAGAATAGGCCATGACAGCTTTATTTGATACTATACAGTACTGAATTGCTTCAAGCATTGCTAAATACAGTGCAGATACATGATACCCAACCCAGAGTGCATTTCTTTTGCAAGTAGGGAGTTATCAGAAAACAAGGAGATGCTTTATTGCCACTGATTTTCAACTTTGCTTTAGAATATGCCACTAGGAAGGTACAGGAAAACTAGGTGGGACTGAAATTAAATTGGACACAACAGCTGTTGGTCTATGCGGATGATGTGAATCTACTGGGTGATAATATAAATACCATAAAGAAAAACAGACTTTAATTGACACCAATAAGGAGGTTGGTCTAGAAGTAAACATGGAGAAAACTAAGTATATATTGCTGTCTTATCACCAGATTGCTGGGCAAAATCATGACATGAAGGCAGCTAACAGATGTTTTGAAAATGTGGCACAGTTCTAATACTTGGGAATGACTATAACAAATCAAATCCTGATTCAGGAAAACTAAGAGGAGACTGAATTTGGGTAATGCTTGCTACAATTCAGGCCAGAACCTTTCGCCTTCTCGTCTGCTGTCCAAAAACATAAAAATTACAATATACAAAAATATAATTTTGCCTGTGGTTCTGTACGGGTGTGAAACTTGATCTCTGACATTAAGAGAGGAACACAGACTAAGGGTGTTTGAGAGCAGGGTGCTGAGGAGAATATGTGGAACAAAGAGAGATGAAATGATTGGAGGTTTAATAAAACTATATAATGAACTTGTACTCTTCTCCAAGTATAATTAGAATGATCAAGTCAAGAAGGGTGACATGGGCAGGGCATGTAGCATGAATGGGAGAGAAGAGGAATGCATACAGAATATTTGTGGCAAAGCCAGAAGGAAAGAGACCACTAGGAACACCAAGATGTAGGTGGGTGGATAATATTAAAATTGATCTTAGAGACACATGATGGAATGGTATGGATTGGATTGATGTGGCTCTGGATATGGACCAGTGGAGGGCTCTTGTGAACAGGGTAATGAACCTTCGGATTCCATAAAATGCTGGGGAGTTCTTGAGTGGCTGCACACAACTGACGGCTTCTCAAGAAGGGCTCAGCTCCATGAGTGATCTGCTGCCCATCACAGTGAAGACATGGTCTAAGGCATGAACTGTCTTTGCTCATTTGAACACTGGGATCATGAGTTTGAATGCCACTCAAGGCATGGATGTTTGTCAGCATTTATTCTGAGTTTATGTAGGAAGCGGCCTTGTGACAGACTGATCCCCCATCCAAGGAGTCCTACTGATTGTCTTCTGATTATGAAACTGAAGTGAAACAAAGCATTTCATGGATGCCCCTATGCTCCAAAGTGGGAGCAGGAGGAAAAAGAGAGAAAGAGATTGGTATCTGCCTGGGGAAACTGAGGAAAACCATATTGGACGATACTCTGGCCAAGATTCAAATGAAACATTTTCTGAACACAAGTTGAGAGCTTTACTGTTACACCAACTCCCTTAATTCATTTATGTACCATCATTTTCTTTACCTTTACAGTTGTAGGATTTAATGTACAGTATGTCAGCTGTCTCAAGGTTTCAACCATAATAATAAATGTTAAATGTTGCAACTGTGGTAACAAGACAATATGACACACATGGTTAAAAAAATTCTTCCAAAGACAATAATAGTTGCAACACATTATATTCTGAATGAGAAACGTGAGTAGTTTTAGTTTTTGCTTACTTACACTAAAATGCCCATTTCAGATTTCTTTCAGGTACAGTAAATTTGAAAAGTAAATTGAGTGAAATATTAAATGGAGGAAGTATTTACTATTTGGATTAGCATCTTTGGATCACTGCAATTGAACATCAAATGAGAGAAAACCTCAGATCAAGGAACACTGAATGGGGGTTTCCGCTGCCTGATGATTACAGCAACACATAAAAAATGCACTGAAATAATTATTGTAGCATGTATGTATGATAGTTGTTGTACAACAAAACTTTTCCTGTTGCTGTGTTTCTTGCAGACATTACGAAAGGGAGCTACTGAACAAGAAAAGGCTGAGTTTTTAAAAGAAGCTCAACTGATGAGCAACTTTAAGCATGAGCACATTCTTCAGCTCTTGGGAGTCTGCCTTGATAATGACCCAAATTTTATCATAATGGAATTAATGGAGAATGGAGACTTGCTGAGTTACCTCCGGTCAAACAGACCACTCCTAGTAAGTAATGCATCACAAGTCCCTTGATATATATTACATACTAATGTTCTTCACCAAGTGTGTGAATTTTGAATTCATATGCATTTCTAGTCATATAAAAATAAATCACAAACTGTGATGATAATAATAAGATCTTGTTCAGTCCTATTTTGGCATGTCATCGGCCTGTGTTACTGTTTATTTAGTACACTGTTGCCATTTCGATGCTCACCTTATTTTGTAGTCAGATGTAATCTTCATGTTTTGTTGCTTTGTATTTATTACATACTACTAATATGTTGACAATCTGTTAAAATTCTCCAAGAAATATAATTCTTATTGTATAAAATAAAAGCATAACATAATAATAAGAATAATACTGTCACATGTTAGTGACTAGACACAGGGTTTGGACTGATAATTGGATTTATTAGTGCAATTCTACATGGAAAAGGTTGAGGAATATTGTTGTATATATATTCTTGTGAAAAATAATTTGTCATACTGTAAAACATATGGGTACACAATTTGGAGTAAGGAGTTTTTCAATCCCCTAGTACTAGGAGACTAGCACCCAGGTTTTAACTTGGGGGTTACTCCTAATCATCCAAGAGTAGGGAATTCCATATCTCCCAGTACTGTGTGGTTTTCTAGAAGAAATAACTGCCTACTTTCCTTTGACATAACATGGACTGCATAGAAAATGATGCCTCCGACAATTCTTCATTGCTGAGGGAACATCTTTAACAAGTTGTTACCTAGCAATGATATGGGGATAGAGAGACAGACCCATAGACCCTCCTTTGATAAAATCCCACATAGAAAATGACATGCCCAACAATTCTTCTACTGTAGCACGTATTTGATACCACAGGAATGTGTTTATCAAGCCGTTGCCTACAGCAGAATGGGGGATACATACATACAGACACACAGACTGCAGGAAGGGATTCATGAAATATGCTGTTGATATGGGCTCAGCTGCCATGATATACATACTGTAGTGTGTAGAGACATTACTATGCAATGACCATAAGATAGGCAAATATACCAGGCCTGTTTCTAGGCAAAGGCTCAGCAAACACGTTCCTCTTGCTATGCAGCAGATTCTTAATATTGTAACGTGTTTCGTTACTGAAGACGCCGTAGAGATTGTTAATTGGTTTATTCAACAACCTACAAGTAATGGCTACAATTAATTATGACAATGTTGTGGGGTTTCACACTTTATAACCCTAATTGCAATAATCTGTTAACACTGTTGTGGGGTTTCGCAATTTATAACCCTATTCACAAATCAGTTCATTCTATCTTCAGTAGACTACACTTTTCACAGTACGGGAGCTATACAAGTGTCACTCTGTTACACACTCCAAATTAATTCTCAGTTACACACATGTCCAGTACTTCTTTCCGCGACGGCTGCTATAGTTCAACTCTAGACTGCTGACTGGAGAATTGTCGTTGGCGCTGATACACTTTAACTCTCTCTCCGGGGACGGCTACAAGTTAAGTTGACTACAACTGAACTCGGGGATGGCCACACTACAACAACTCCTCGCAGGCAGTGCAGCTCTCTTATATAGTGGCTGTGTGTGCCTGTTACGTAGCAACGCTGTTACCTCACGCTGTCTTACGTCACCGCGCGTTGCGCATTACGTTACCGTGCGGAGGGTAGATGACGGAGCGCTGACTCACCCTCCGCGTCACTGCTGGTGGGGGGGGGGAGTTCTCCATTGCGCAACATGTCACAATATTGTAACAGTTGGACTATAATAATGGAAGAGCTGTGTCTTCTACATGTTCTCCGTTGTGCAACATGTCACAATATTGTAACAGTTGGACTATAATAATGGAAGAGCTGTGTCTTCTACGTGGTCCATGCTGAGATGTTATAACTAAGACAAGGTTTGGAGCTTAGTCAGTGGAGAGTGAGTTCTATATGGGAGTTTGTGAAGAGAAAACTTCAGCAGAGGCACAGGAATTGCCACTGTTGGAGCAGATAACGTCTAATAACAGCCTGAGAACACTAGACTATGTGCTTTAGTGAACTGTAAAGTGTGAAAATAGTGATTAGTGTTAGAGTTTAGTTATCATCTGTAAGTGGTCTATAAATCTATTCACCAATCCAAATCCTGTCTATAGTCACACATAAATGTTACAATATCAAGTTTCATAAAGATTGGTTCAGGCATCCAAAAGTTGTTGGGGGGGGGGATTCACAAACACACAGGATGGAGATCGCATAAGCCTACTTTAGGAAAGTGGGCTAAAACACAAACACTTAGCCACCCAGACTGCATGCATCATTACAATAATGCAACGACGACTGATAAAGTTTGTCACATAAGGCCTGACAGAATACTTCCAAAGACAGACATTTCTAAATGGAGCTACAAGTGTTGACTGTGAGTTAATTAACATTAAATTTAGAACTGTTATTAATCTCTTATCTTAGCATAATCACTGCCAGAAGTTTAAATGACAGTTTAATCCTGATGGCTAGATGCATTAACACAAGCATATTCAATTAAAAAGTAAACAAATGTTTGTAAATATTGTACGTCAAAAACTAGTAAGTGTACCGACTCCTCATAAGCTGTTCTGTGATAACTGAATGTTCTGTGCTGATTGAATGCCATTTGCAGGAGGAAAGATGAATTACTTACATAACTGTCAAAAAACATTACAAGCATTGGGACAGCTCACATATTTGAGCAGTAGTGTCATTGTTGGCAGTGAATCTGTTTCTTACACAAATGCTGAGAAAAATGTGATTTCAAAGTGAGACTCAAAGTTTTTAAGTTGCTGCATGTGTATATATGTTGGGATGTGGACTTATCCTTGTGATTGCTTTAATGCTACTCTCCTCCTTTCATGAGATAAATATTTTTTTTTTCAGTACACAGGAAATTCTCTTACATTACTTGACCTGTTGGCAATGTGTGTAGATGTTGCCAGAGGTTGCAGATATTTGGAAGAAATGCATTTTGTTCACCGAGATTTGGCATGTCGCAATTGTCTAGTATCATCAGGAGATCCTCAGAACAGGATAGTTAAGATTGGAGACTTTGGCCTTGCAAGAGATATATACAAGAATGACTATTATCGAAAAGAAGGAGAAGGACTATTACCTGTAAGGTATGTTCACATGTTGCCATATCATATGGTATGTTCACAGTCCCTTTCTATAATTTATTGCTGTAAGAATAAACCAAGGTAACTCGATATTTGACTACAGAGTGGACAGTTGAGGTCTGACTCCTGGAATAAGTACAGATCTTTCTCTTTCCCATCACACCCATGTTTCTGAAGCCTACCCATTTTCTTGTTCAGTGGTTACCACCAGAACATCCCCAAGAGCAGAGATTGGACCCCTGTTTCATGATATGGTGATTAACTTCAGGGACAACTGACATTTATCTCTCTTGTTACTTACTATATTTCACATCATTTGTTAAACAAATAGTTGGTTATTTAATATTTTTAAGAACTGATATTCAGGAAGAAACCACATATATGGAAAGGACTACTTTTACAGATGGATGGCCCCTGAATCACTGGTGGATGGCGTGTTCACTTGCCAGTCAGATGTGTGGGCTTTTGGTGTCCTTATCTGGGAAATCATGACACTTGGACAGCAGCCATATCCAGCTAGAACCAACCTGGAAGTTCTGCATTATGTCAGGAATGGTGGACGCCTGGGGAGACCAAACAACTGTCCAGAAGAGCTGTATGTGTAATAGGATATATAGTGCAACCCCAATTTAATGATCAAGTTAAGGTTTTACTTCATTTAACATTCAATTCCACAAATCCCAAGTCAATCACCTTACTGACAAATTTACTCTATTCAAGATTTTCTTCAGTTTAGTGTTCAAATTCATCACTCCCCACAGAAACCTTAAATGGGAGCTTCACTGTATTTTTATCATCTCTTGCTTAATGCACAGAGAAGCAGTGTCCATGATACAGAACAGGAAATGAAGCATACGTTGGAGTAACATCGTGCACATGTACTAACTGTCACATGTTGGCGACTACACATGGGCATTGGATTGATTATTGGAATTACTGAACACTTATAACCCTTAACTACAAATAATCATAATGCTCTTACTAATTTACACACTCTACAAAGAAGAAGTAGTTCCATGGATCGACCCCCTTCACTCCTCCCTCAAGCTGTTATATTTCCTCTTACAGCATACTTCCCTACAATCCCATCAAGTCATCTAATCAGTTTGTTCACATGAATATTCACAGTGGTAACCACACAATAGCTGTTGCTAGTGACAAGTACTCTGTGCTGGTTGACACAGAACAGTGGGAGATGGAGAGGAAGGGAAATGAGGAACCCTCAAGTACTGTCATCCCCACCATTCATGGGACTCCCTTCCATGGCCTCAGTATAAGTGAATTTCATTTTGATAAATACATAATAACTACACAAAGCATAATTAGAACTTGCCTGTTAATAAATATGGAAGTTTGGTGTCATGTAATTTTTAGAATTTTGCGAAAAATTTAAAATACAGCCACGTCTGCTATGTAGTGTTTAAATTACTTGGTCACTGCATATATAATTATGTAGTTCAACATTTCTCATAATGGGTTTGATGGTAAAAGAAGTAAAGTGGGTGAATTTCCCTTCAACCCTTTCTATGCTAGTCCAGCTTAGAAAATCAATCTGTACATCTTGCCACACAGTAATGGAAGTTTATAATTCTCAGTTGCAAAACTCACAAACGCAGTGAAACATTCATCTTACAATCCCAGATTTTTTAAATTTGTTATGTCCTGAAAGTCATCCTGGGCCGACGGTTCTAAAGCGGCTTTGTTCACTGCACCACTCCATCCTGCTGTGCACCCACCTTCAAGATGGCCTTCAGTTCATTCAGTGTTACCATGTACATGCTGTAAAGCGTGCCAAAGACCAGCTTCCCATCTATAGCTTTGCAAAAGTTTGCTGTCTTCTCCACGCTATTCAGAACAGAGGTCCACTCTGAGCTTTCCCCCACTTCAGCCGGTGTACATCCAAAAACGTTCTCAATGCACTGAATATTTTATATACTTGTTGCACTACAGAAGTTGCATCTTGGTATTTTTTCATTACGGCATGATAAATTTCAGTGATGCTAGCTTCTGTGTCCAGTATTTCCAGAATCCCAGTACTGGAACATCCGCCATCTTGGTGTACAGTCAAGTTCACCACGCCATAAGTAGTGATTAAATAAACAGCCTCAGCAAGGAGAAGATATAAAATGCCGCTTCCAACAATTCTTCTATTCTTGCATCAGTCTGTTGCTGCAGAAACATCTCTAACCTTGCCCTACAACAACTCTTTCTTCTCCTTCCAATATTCCAGCTTTCAGGCCATCATGTCAAAATACATATACTTTAAACTGCAGAATAATAATTTGCTCTGCAGTCCTCCACACAAGGGAAGAGTTCAAGCATATAATACTAAGGTTTATGAAGCACTAATACCTTACTTCCTTCCACTGTAATTTAAGTATCTGATACCACAAGGGGAAAGAAAAATTTAGTGTGTGTGCACAATGAAGTCAGTGAAACAATAAAATTTTGGAGGCTGCAGTGTTGGTATTAATAAGTGATTTGTGAAGTACAGCATCGAGATAGCCTGAGATGGCATGATACATACCAAGTTGCATGAAGATTTGTATGGAAAAATCAAGATATATTAAGGTTTTGACTCAGTAATATGAATGGCTGTAATGTTGGTATTACTGAAGGAAGGGATTTATGAAATTTATGAAATATGCCACTGAGATGGGCTCTAGTGGTTTGATATACATATCAAGTCTCATAATGATCAGTTCAGGCATTCATGTAATATTAAGGATATTACCTCAGCAGTGAGAGGCTGTATAGTGTTGGTATTATTGATGGGCGAGATATATAATGTACACCATTTAGATGGCCTCAGTGTCAAGATATATATATCAAGTTTCATGAAGATTAGTACAGGTGTTCAAGCAGTACTAAGGTTTTCCCTCAGAAATATGAGAGGCTGTAACGTTGGTATTACTGATCGGAAAAAATATTTATGAATTATGTCACTGAGCTGGGCTCAGGTGCCATTAAGATTGGTTATGGTATTCAAATGTTGTTTGGAGAGATACACACAGACAGCAAGTTGCTCTCATATACCTACTTCTATTTCTTTCAAAATAAGAAAAGTATATCAAAAATGCTGATACAACAATTTGTGGCATTCCAGACACCAGCTGATGTTGAAATGCTGGAACTATAATCCTGAGACACGACCTACATTTAAATATTGTTTGGATGTTCTGGAAGAACTAAAAAGCAAAAGTGTAGACCTTCCTCTAATAGCCATCCAGAATGGGCATTACGTGAGCAGGACACAGAATGGTATGTACACAGATCAATAAAATTAATCATTTACAGAATGATAAGTTGAAGCTCATATAATGTCTACCTTTGTATTATAAAGTATACTTCAGTAACTTAATGTCTTTTATTTTGTTCATCCTTTGCCAATTCTATAGTAGTATATTAAATTCAAAACATTTCTTCCTGTTTAGCACAGTAAAATGAAGTGAAATAATATTTAAGTTTTGGATTAGTCCAATGGCAGGGTCTGTGAACACATAACCACCAGACTGTAAAAGCAGGAAATTTCTTGATCAGCTGTGGAACTACCAACAGTTCAAGTAGCCAAGCCCAAAAGTTTATCATGTGTGTTATAATAAGTGTGACCACTCTTTTGAATAATGTCAATCATCTTAAATTTTTTTCTGACAAGATGTTCCAGAAACTGAATCTCTTTCTGCCATTGGGTATAAGTAAAGAAAAGAATCTTACTTAGTTTGGCCCATTGCTCTAGTGGTTATACACTGATGAAGACTTGCATTTTCTAATGAGCCCAGTTGAGTGAAAACCTTTCCTTCCTTGCAGCTGATGATGGAAACACATTTGATTTTTGAGATGTGTCTGAAAACACTTCAGATGCTGGACACTGTCAAAAACTAATAGTCGTGTTTATTCAAAGAAGGCTGTGCTGTGGAGATGGCATTTAAAATTTTAATATCCATTAAATCAGGTCTGCTTATACCTAATACCATTAGCATCAAATGGTCTAAATGCAGACTCTCCAAATTACTTTAAAAATACAGTGATTATAAGGCCATTAGTTCCCATGTGTTTTATTCAGAATCGATCATCTGTAGCCTTGTTTCCATCTATAACGCAACAATTTAAATTTTAAATGATACTAAATTGCATTTAATTTACTAAAATATTTGATAAATGTTTAAACTATTATTAAAATATGTGTACATTCAGTGTTTATGCAACATGTTTCAGCTGCACAGGGCCATATTCAGGCAAGACATTTTTTAAAGAGTCTACTGCACTGTGCACTTGGTCAAATAGTACTCTTAAGGGATGTCGTTGTTATCAATAATTTTGGTGATGTGGGATATTTTCTTCCTATCTTTCGTATTGGGACCATTCGTGTCCCACTGGGCATGCCGCTTTCTTTGTTATGTGCATCTAGTGTTGCTTTGTGTTCCTTGTGCTAATACCATTAACACCTCAATGCAACAGGATGCTGAAATATAATATTACAATCATTCTGTCAGTAGAGCATTTTGTCTATAGGGTGGAGAAGAGTTTGGTTCTCATCATGGTCAGAGATTTTTCTCTTTACCATCACATCCTATCCTGTATATACTGGGTACTCTTTCCCCAGGAGTGATGTAACTGAATGTGAAGCTTACCATTCAGCATGGTTTAGAGAGCGCAGAACTTCACCGTTATGTCCCCTGTAAACCTTCATATTACAGTTTTTAGGCTTAACACAAATTAGACTGGCTGATCCTTAGATTCATAAAAGCATCATCAGCATCACAATAAAATTAATTTACTGCAATACATTACAGAAAAATTAACATTATAATATTCTGTTTCAACAAAGAAAATATTCTAACTTAAGTACATTAAGAGCATAAAAATGTCTGATACATTCATTAGTGTTAACCCTAGTACAACTAACAACTTAATTCCATGGAACAGAGTCATTCTTTAGTTGCTCACCTACTTAAGGTTTCCACTTTTAATTTAACCTAAAGATAAATTACTGTGTTCACAACAGCCTGCCACTGGTCCCTATCGAGCCAAATACAGTGCACAAGAACCTGTCACAGGTCCCTATTCTGAGCCAAATAAAAACAGTGACCAAGGGCCTGCCAATGGTTCCTATCCTGAGCTAAGTGAATACAGTGCACAAGCCAAATAAAAACAGTACACAAAAGCCTGCCACAGGTCCCTATCCTGAGCCAAATGAATACAGTGAACAAGATCCTACCACAGGTCCCTATCCTAAGCCAAATAAAAACAGTACACAAAAGCCTGCCACAGGTCCCTATCCTGAGCCAAATGAATACAGTGAACAAGATCCTACCACAGGTCCCTATCCTAAGCCAAATAAAAACAGTGCACAAAAGACTGCCACAGGTCCCTACCCTGAGCTAAATGAATACAATGCACAAGAGGCTGACACTGGTCCCTATCCTGAGCCAAATGAATACAATATTCTAAAATTGTCAATGTTTTTACTGTTTTTAAGATTAATTCTTTTATGACTAATGTAAACCTTATCTACTATTAATTGTTTTTTGACAGCTGCTTGATTGATAAGCAAGATGTGATTAAGCTACTTGACGATTTCTATATCTAATTGGTTGTTTTTTGACCTTGTAAAGATCTTATGGAATCTGAAAAAATGAATGAAGGAATGAATGAATACACAAGAGCCTGCCACCGTCCCTATCCTGAACCAAATGAATACAGTACACAAAAGACTGCCACAGGTCCCTATCCTGAGCCAAATGAATACAGTACACAAGAGGCTGCCACTGGTCCCTATCTTGAGCCAAATGAATATAATACACAAGAGCCTGCCACAGGTCCCTATCCTGAGCCAAATAAAAACAGTGCACAAGAGCCTGCCATTGGTCCCTATCCTAAGCTAAATGAACCTTCAGATTCCATAAAATGTCGGGAAGTTCCTGAGTAGCTGCACAACTGGCAGCTTCTCAAGAAGGGCTCAGCTCCATGATGTTAGTTAAGTTAGTTATTAAACTCTCAACTATCTTCATCCCTCTCCAGTCAAAAGATCTTATAAATCTTACAAACATTTGTGTGTGAAGCTGATTAATGAATAGACTTGCCTGTCAAGTTACAGTCTGTGGTACTTCATTAGCTAACTCCCTGGTTTATGGTCTTTGTGTAGTTAATCAGCTGTGCAAGAAACTTCCTGTTATAAAATTCATAACTATTCTCTGTTGCCATTTGACACTGTCACTGTTATTCACTAACAAATGTTTAATATCTGTTGTGTTTGTAATGCATGTCAGCCAATGCAACCCTTTCACTGCCAGACCTTTTACTATGGGCTATGCATTAATGGCCAAGCTGCTTCATAAAAAGATTCATATATCTCAAAGGAAACAAACTTTTGTACAGTAGTGCCATCTCTTAACATATACAAGATTTTCTAGCTTTTAGCAACAACCAGATAACAGCATAGCACATGACCTGTGCAGCTTTAAGGACAGAACTACTTGTACTGTTGCTCTTGTGGCAACAACATAAGTGTGAAATGGAATAATACAGGCTGCTCAGGTACAGTAGAGGCCTGTTTGATCTTAACAAATTCAGATGTTAGATTTCCTCTTATATGAAAATTTGGCAGCGAGACTTATTCAAACCACTTATTGCGGAAGCATTGCCCATTCATACCATTTATTGCGGAGGAATTTCCCTCTTCAAATGAGACTAAATTAAGTGGAATGGCTGCGCCATAGCTCAAGTGGTTAGTCACTGGCTTCCCACCGCAGTGGCCCGGGTTTGATCCCAGGTCTGGTCAAGTGGGATTTGTGGTGGACAAAGTGGCACTGGGGCAGGTTTTCTCCGAGTACTTCGGTTTCCCCTGCCAATCTTCATTCCACCAATTGCTCCACAATCACCCTCACCTATCATCTGGGGCTGGTACAATAGGCCAGAAGTGGCTGCAGTACAAGGGACTTAGTCCCACCCCACTAGCATTAAAAAATTAAGCAGAATGAATAGAGCAACTGTTCCATGATGTAGGCCCCTTCCTGATCACTGGCCATTCTGTACCAACATTTTGGCCACTTTATCACCATAAAATTACAGAAAACTGACAGTGTTTACAATATTAGGGCTAAGCCATTTTACTTACAAAGCATGACGAACCACTGTTATAAATATAAAATTTTTGTCTAAATGTGTATACTGACTTGCTTTCACTAACATCATACAGAAAATTTGTAACTTCTTTATCATAGCTCAGTGTTATGAAACAAATACAAAATTTTACTTAGTATGGATGGCACTGTTAGTTGTTAAAGAACATAAAAAATACTGTTGTTGTTAAATCTGGATGCACCATAGGAGAACGTACCTCACCAGCTTAAGTCATTAACTGGCAGGGAGAGTGTTTAATAAATGAAAAACTAACGAAGCATGATTTTTGTGTGATACTTTCTTGCTTATTGATTCAGGTGGAATAGATAACCGTGGCTTCTTTGAAGATGAAAACCATAATAACAGTTCAGGTATAGTTTTACATTGCTTTTAACATGGTATTGATTCTAACTAATTCAGCATGTAAGGCTGGAATAATTAGGCACATTGTGAGAACTGCACATTATATGTGCCTAACACAGAATACATCTCAGTACTTAAGAAATGTATTTAAACCTCACATGAGATACAGGGTAATTTGGGCCGCGCCATAGCTCAAGCGGTTAGGCACTGGCTTCCCACCACAGCAGCCAGGGTTCGATCCCGGGTCTGATCAAATAAGATTTGTGGTGAACAAAGTGGCGCTGGGGTGGGTTTTCTCTGAGTACTTTGGTTTCCCCCGTCAATCTTCATTCCACCAAATTCTCCATCGTCATAATCACCTGGGGCAGGCTACAATAGGCCAATCAGTGGCCGCCATGCTGAGTGGGCCGAGTTGGACTCCACCCCCCACTAAGCAAATTTTACAGGGTAATTTAAAACCTATGCAACCAAGGAGAGACTAGCCAACTTCCAAGTTATGAATGTAACACACTCCACTGCATCATGATTATAATGTAAAATAATTCTAAAAACTAAATTATTCATTACATGCTCTACAACTACATTTACACACAAATGACACAGCCAGTAATACACCCAACACACACAGCACTGAAATGTATCATTGTTGCCATTTGAACTGCCATGTATAAAGACAAGAAAAGTACATTGAGACTATGTGTTACAAGAGCATTTCAGTTACCCAGAACATCTCATTCAAAGACTGGAATTTAACAACAGTCAGCCACTTTGTGGAATACGTTTTAAAACTATTAGCAGCTTACTGAATTGATTAACTGTAGCAGTCTTACTGGTAATGTTTCATAGTTTTCAAGCCATGGATTTTTTGGATTACAGGAAATTCATGGAAGACGAGCAGTGATTCTGGCAGTCAAGACCAGGTGCCTTTCCTTCAAGCATCCCATGAGATTATGTCAAGTCAGGGAGGCCAGCAACTTTCAGTACCACAAGGGCAAACAGGTCTTGCTGAAAGTCAAAATGCAAATCATATCAATGTAACACTAAGTGGGATTCCAAAATACCTTGAGTTGATCTATGATGATACGCCACCCACAGTGGGTGACGGCTATGAAATTCCAAGAGTTTTCCCTACTGGAAATGCCAATAACAAGTCTTCATCTAATGAAGCAGTGGACAGACCCAGAACATTTTCCACTTCTTCAACATTAAGTGATGGAAGTGCTGCAACACGGGCGTTGTGCCAACAGACCCATTTATTAAGTAACAAAAGTGATGAGTCAAATTCACCTGGAAAGATGGACAGTATTTTAGTGATTGGGAATATTAAGTCAAATGGTTGTATAGGAGGAATCAAGAAAAATGCAACAGAATTCAGAAGAAATGGAGAAAAGGACCTTTCTAGTCTGAAGCAACTGCTGCCATCTGTAAAGAAATGCTCCAACACCATCAATAATCATCAATCAGTTGGTGGCTGCAATAACATAAACACAAACAGTGCTTATAGTAATATGGTAAAACAACCCTTATTGGAAGAAGAGGTGACAGAAAATGCACCTGAAAGACCTCATAATTCTTCCAATGACCATAGTAAAAGTACCGTCACAATTCCACTTAATTATACACCTACTACAACTCTGCCTTCTTGAACAATGGTTCAGCTGCAGTCTCTGCAATCTGTACAATTGAAAAGTAGTTTAGGATACGAACAAAACATGTAGGCAAGCCATGCAGAAATGGTGTAACATAAACTTTGTATCAGCACATGAAGCTGATAATCTCTTGAGCCTAAAAGTATTTACAACTTCACATCTATCAGAAATGTCAGAAAATAACACAAATTTCTTCAAAGAACACTATTGTATAAAACAAGAGAGCATCATGTACATAGACTGCTTCATTATAATTCTCATACTGTTGTATGCACACATTGTATAGATCTACTCACTGTAAATAGTGTAATGAAATATATTATTATTATTATTATTATTATTATTACTTGTGGTAGTCTTATAGTTCAGACAATCACAGTGTAAAGGACACTTAACCTTTAAGTGCCGAAGTGCCCAGTTTGTGCCAGTCATGAGTAAGGTCGTCGTGGCCAAAGTACCCAGTTGTGGCCAGTCAGGCATTTAAACTCCGCTAGTGGAAGCGCGCGCACACGCCGCTAGTAGAAGCGCATGCACAGTCCTGAATATTTATTTTTAAATGTAGTAATTACCAGACCGACTTAAGTAAAACCCTAATAGAGGAATTAAAATAATACCTTACTGAACAACAGCAAATAAAAATATACGTATGAGTTATGCCAAAACTTATCCACAATCCAGTAATTTTGTTGCAGATTCTGCAGATAGGTATGTTAAAAATATAGTGTAAAATTCGATGTACATACCTTTTTTGTTGTTACCTTCTTGATGTATATATAGGTTCAAATGAAACTACAGTATTCGATTTCACTACGAACGCACACAAAAGAGATCACGCTCTGTATCTCAGCCACGATGCAGCTGTCTGTTCATTCAAATAGAAGGGGCAATAAGCTTTTGCAGCCCTAACGGAACATCTTAGCACTGAAGAGGGGACCCCTATAGCTTTCTCTTGAATAGCCATTCTTTCATTCTTCTGACCTTCAGTCAAGTATTCGAAAATCCGAAGGGTGTAAGCAGCGCTAGCAGAAGACCAAATGATTTTATTGCTTCCATCTGTTTTATGACACCAGAGACTGCTAAAATTTGTCAAGTGTTACAAACAGAAATGAAGTTATAATGCAGAACAACTCTGTGAAGAACTGGGAAACCATTTTTGCAGTACGCATCAAAATTAAAACACAAAAAATTGAAAATAGAGTACAACACTTTGTATTAAAAATTTCAAATCTTCCTTTATAATATGCGACACTATGTTCTTTTCTGAAATAAACAAAGTTATTTCCATCCATTTATCATAAAAATTGAGCTAGATAGAGCATTTTTAAACACAACGCTTAAAATTGATTAAGCGCCTAACAGGAACGGACATTTAAACGAAGCGTAGCAACGGGCATTTAAACGCGCACCAGCAGCGGACATTTAAATAAACTCCGGCCAGCTCAAGCTTACCACTATTTCGAAGTCCGGCGTTTAAAGGTTAATGCTCAACTCTTGAATCTAATCCAATTTATTTACAAGTGTGTCTTTCTTCCAGCTTTGTACAGTGTGATCAAGACACATTTTTAAGGCAGAAAGACATTTCTTCAACCACTTATTTTGAAATTCTGTGCAGATCATATAGTTGTTCACAAATTTTCTTAAATATTCATGAGCTTAAATACAGGAATTTCTAAGTCTGATAGCTTCCTCATCAGGAAGTACAGACCTTCTAAAGAGTTTTCATTTGAGGATATATTCTTTAAGAACTGTCACAGAGCAAGTGGAAACTGAACCATCAGGAGCATAAAACAAATATCACGTAGTTTATTTACTGGATGCAAGGGCCCAGGCCTTGGCCTAGTTAATTTGGTGGTCTCAGTTTCTAGTGAACGCAGCACACTGAAACAGTAATATTCTATAAACATTTCTTCAGTGTCCTATACAGTAGTCACAAACATGTCAGACTCCTGCAGGAATGCAACTGGAAGTTGTGCTGAGAGAGCAATGGCTTATCCATGAAAATCTGTATTGGCTTAATTTTAATACATTTTTAGAAATTTATTTTTTAAACATACATAGATGTTATTCACTCTGAGAATCAATTATGTAAATACTACGACACGTTTGACCTATGCAACTACATTAGCCAACCAACCAAACCGTTAACAACACACAATATTACACTGTACTACAATACTATGTTATATGAACGTTTCTTCAGTTGGTTAAATTACTGCTGGCCCTAGCCAACGCAATGATTCTTAGTCCCACATGACTCATGACCACATTGTCACATGATGGAGTGAATATAGATGGCATTTGGATTGATAATCAGATTTAGTGACTACTTTACAAATTGCTGTCACACACAGATTAGTGTTCTCAGTCTGTTACAGTCTCCACTAGCAGTTGCCTCGAAATGGTTCTCGATGGTGTATCTTCCCTTTACTCTGAGTTTCTGAGCTATCTCTGTGCTTCAGCTACCTGCTTCTAACAGCAACAGCTTACAATGACTGAACTGCAGCAGTCCCTCCTCCTCTTACTTCTCAGCGCTCCTCAGCCTGATGATCGCTCATGATCCCTGAACGCCCTGAACTACTTTCATCACCCAAAGGTTCAGGGGATTGGAGTTCATACCTCAGAGAACAGTGTTGCAGGTTGCAGCCGTTCCAGCCATATCGCTGAGACCTCGATCAACCTCGACCTCCGCCTAATTGCGAAAAGCAAATTCTGCATGGTGGTGTATATTGTCACTGGAAATCATTTTATTCAAGGCAGCAATAGGTTACCCATGAACCTAGATGGTAATTTACTTGAATCTTGTATTATGCTTACAATAACATCCTATTTTTTAAACACCTATGATTTAATTGTGACATGCACTATAACATAACCTCACAAACAGTTCCTTAATTCACATCGGTACCATGAGAATCAGAGGGTAGTGCACATACTGTACCTAAGTAGGGCTATTTATTAAAAAAAGTCATATTGCAGTCAATTACAACCCATTACAACCATTACAACACTATTTACTGGTGTAGTTTAAGTTCATTATTGTCCTGATATCTACAGTGCCATTTTCTGGATAACGAACCAATAAACGTGCATTGGACAAGGCGAAGCAAAACATGGAAAGTATAAGAGGATTAAATTTCGTGACAGTCAAGCATATTACCATTCAAGTAACTAGACTGCAGTTGTAGCAGAAGCTAATAGAAATAGGTCATACCCTGCTGTACTGAGCCTGGACTGACAGAGGTCCTGTATATATTTTATATACATTTATTAACATGTCTAAGATGTAAAATGTAAATATCCCTTACATTATGACAAATGACTTACTACTACAGACAGTGAATCTAACAGAAGACAGACCCGTTCGGGCGAAACAAATACCAAGCAGTCGCTGAATCGGTCGCAAACCCATCCACGAGAAACAAAGGAATGATTTCACTGATGATAAAGATTTTTCGTCATAAAGTTATGCCATTGGTGGGCAGCATAATGGCATAATATGTGATATTCAGGAATCATTTGTATCACCGTGGGGGATGCGCAAACTCCTGAGGTGGGGCGGCGTTTTCGACACAATCTAAGCTATCACGTAGCAAAAGAACCTTGGAACATAAGAGCATAGATTGACATCATGGGTGGAAAAACAGCCAACACGCTCAATTTTATATATAACGTCATATTTCGATTAATATTCCATGTTACGACAATCCTATATTACGTTCCGTTAAATAGCACCTTCGTAAATAACGTCACCCTTAGGTGTGCGCAATAATCTACTGCGTATCGACCTGTATCTCAGGGGTACCATTATCTGATGTTAGGTTAGGTTAGGTCAGATTAGGTTTGCGCAGTAGACTACTGCGCATCCATTTGTAACACAGGGGTACCATTCGATGATGTTAGGTTACTTTAGCTTAAGTTAGGTTGGAATAGGTTAGGTTATGTTAGATTAGGTTTGCGCAGTAGACTACTGCGCATCCATCTGTACCTTGGAGGGGGCGAAGCTCCGCAATTTACGCTAATGTCAGGTTGTGAGTATACATTATGACAAGTGTGGGCAAATGACTACTGCGAATCGTTATGCTTAGTTGAGCNGTTAGGTTGTGAGTGTACATTATGGCAAGTGTGGGCAAATGACTACTGCGAATCGTTATGCTTAGTTGAGCACTGTTTGGCCGTCGGTAATATCTTACGATTGACTGTCCCTGACAGCATATGAAGTCATAATATACTTATAAGGGACATTTTATTTCCGAATTTTCTCAGATGATAAACTGTAGCAAATATATTTATGTTAAACTGTCTACGTAATTTATGAAACCTGGAATATATTATGATATTTATAATTGTCGTAAATGATTTCTTCCGTAATATTCACATTTCAGAACGCTCTCAAGTGCATGATATCACAGTTATCTTCATTGACTCTTACAATTTCCAACAGTTCCCGAAATATTATCTTTCCGAATGCTCCCATTATTAACATTATTATGTTTTTCGACATATGTGAAGGATATGCATGTACTCTATATTACAGGTATCCACCCCACAACACTAGTGCACATATATTAGATAACGAAATCACCAATTATGATCTGAACCTAAGAAAATATCACTCAACATTCTTCTGAGCATTGAAACAAAAAACCAACACATCAGTATATGTTTTGACTAAACTATAAAATACAATCACAACAATGTCAGCTGTAACAACTCCTGCTTTCCTGTAAACAATGTGATTCTCTAAGCAGTTTAATCTATGGAAACAAATTAATTCCCTGACGCTGTATACTACCTGCTAGTACATGTAAGCCTGGAAGATTAGTTGGCGAGAATGCAATCCGTTGTCTATCACACTGAAATACACATCTAACTTACAAATCACTGGCCATCAATCTTCATGCTATAACACGTACTCTACACACCACTGTGCACATTTTACACTGTCACTGTACAGGATTGCCAACATAACACCAATGATAACATGTGATCCACTTAGAATACCACCTTGTTACAAGCAAGAATTCTTCATGCAAACAAGATATGACCATTAAAGGGGAAACTATTGAATCCACTGTGCGTGAATGGAAATCTTAACATTCTTCAAAACACTACAAAAGCTCACTACATATCATTCTATATATTACACACAAAAATATAACGTCGCACTGGAGAATTTAAACTTCACTTTACACTCGACATTATTGAGACCAAAACAACATACATTATACCCACCACTCTCTGTCACACAGAACCAAGATATAAATTCAATAAATCACTTCTTCAATGGGAGCTAAAAATTCACTTTGCACCCTCTTCTTACAAGTACTTATA